CTGTCGGTCAAAATGACCGGCGACGAAAAAGTCTAGCGCAACGTCTGGTTGGCATGATATGTGGCCAGTGGCTGTAATTGTTTAACCGTGCCTGGCAGTGTCAGGGGGAAACACTGCAGGACAACAATTAAAGTTAAGGTGGTGGAAGTCTGAGTAGGGCTGGTGGGAGGGGTGGATGGGTCCAACAACCACTGACTTTCAACTGGGAGGCCAGTGTTCACTTCCTGTGAGACTGTAAAGCCAAACCCTGTTCTTTTCTCCTAAACCCAACTACATGTGTGTTGCTGAAGGTAAAAAACGTTGATTCCCAGTGTTCTACAGACCTGGTGCTTTTATTTTGAAAGAGACTGTATGCAAACTGTACATTTCCTGTGAAAAAAAGAAGTGTATTTTGAAAACAGACAGTGCATGTAACAGGCTGAAGTTGACACGGCGTCCCAGAACGTCAACAACCAACACACCCAGGGTACCTTGGACGTCACATGTGGACGTGGAAAGTCCATGACCAAACGTGGACATGTGACGAGGTCACAGTGAGGATGTGTTGCTCTGTAGTTGTTTTGCGTCTCTTTAAGGTATTTCTGTGTCTTTTTGTGGTCGGTGTGAGTCTCTTCCTGATTGGTAGCTGTTAATTCAGGTGACATTTTGCAGGTGAAGTTCAGGGGGGCCCCTGACACTTTAAAAAATAGATATAACGTGCTAATGAATGAGCTTTAGAGATGCTGCCAGGTTGATTTTGAGCCAGGCTAGCTGCTTCCCCTTGTTTTCAGTCTTTGTGCTAAGCTAAGCTAACTGGCTGCCTGCTGTAGCTTCATAATCAGCAGACAAATAACAGAGTGATATCAAACTCCCCATCTCACTCTCTTGTCTGTGTATCTATAAATACAAGTCACAGAATCAGTGAAAGTGGAAGTTTAAACCAAGGTGGTCTGCAGCCTGCGTCTGTGAGCTGCACACGTTCTCAGCAGCTGCTTGTCTACACATCATGAATGTTTTCTGTGCGTGTGCATCGTTTACACATCTGGCCTCAGTGTGTTGTTTCAAGCTTTAAACACACAAACTGTCAGTAATGTGTGAGACATTTCACACAAACACACACACCTCAGATGTTGATGCTTCCAGGCATGAACTTTTTTTTAAATATCTGTCAGTGTACGCCAGCCTTTATATATCTTGACATCAACCTCATTAAATTCCTCACTCCTCTGTGTTTCTGTTTACCAGCAACAAACTCTGCTCTCTGCTTGTAATCACACGGTGGAGTGAACTTGCAGATTACTGAGGACACAGTGTTGTTGACACACAAACTGTTAAATTGGCCAAATTAGATTCTCTGCACTGGCTTACTTGTTGTTTTTGTTCACCACAGATTACAGAGACAACATCCTCTCTGCTTATGTGTCACATTAACACGCCAACAGTTTGATTTACTCAGTTTGTGTTGTTGTTGTTTCAGATAAACTCTTTTTATTTTAGAAACAAAAGCACAGAGGTCAAAAGATCTGTTGTCCAAAAACAGATAAAAACACATCAGTGAGTCACACTGCGTCACAGAGTGACATGTTCCTTCATTAACATGAACACACACAAACTGTAGTTTATTCTGGCTCAAATATCACACACACACCGTCCTGCTGCCGCAAACACTCCCTGGAGAATGGATTAATCATTGCTGAAAATAGTCCCCAACAATGCATAAAGACAACAGTGAGCAGCTGTTTTAGGGAATTACTGATGAGACTTTATACCTGTGTTTTTAAATACTTAATAGAAGCTAATGTGCTTGGAGCTGAGAGACACAGACAGGAAGTCATAATGTACCTAATGTGAGTGGCAGACTTGATTTCTTTTAAAAACATGGGAAGAAGGCAATGAGCAGTGAAAAAAGAAATGACCCAAAAAATTAGCAAGAAATTTAGAAAATTAAAAATGAGAACATTAGTTTAAAAAAGGAAAGAAACATTTTCTTTCTTTCTTTAAAAACAAAGAAACATTAAAATTAAATGACCCGGAAAGAGTGCTGAAAAATTCTAATTATTCTGTAACATAATTTTAAAATGTAATAATAATAAAACTAAATTAGTTTTTCACTAACATTTTTCTTTTTCCCCTATTTGAAAAACAAAAAAACTTTTCTGCATCTATTTTTGTATTTTGTGGGATATTTCTTACCACGTTGCTCATTGCTTTTTTCCCTATGTTTTTGAAAGAGATTGCACCAATGTGCTCGGGGTTCAGAGGTTTAACTGAATCAGTGCAGCGCCGGACTAAAAATGAAATAAAAATGAAAGTCATTTTGACTTTTTTTCCTTAAAAATTGGGCGTCAGGCTGTCGAAAGCAAAATTAATTGAAACTAACATCCCTACCTGGAACTTTCCTCAATGCTGTAATCGGCTCAAATGTATTATAGGACTCCAATTTGTCCCTTATCAGCCACCATACGTGTGTGTGTGTGTGTGTGTGTGTGTGTGTGTGTGTTAAGTAGGCAGGTTGTCTGGCAGCTAATCAGCAGCAGACAGACAGCTGAGGGACAGTAATGTAGTTAACGTACACAGAGCTCGATACTACATACACACCCACTCACACACACACACACACACACACACACACACAGATATAATATGATGACACTTCAGTGATCTCTGTGGAGAAACAGGATCCATCAAAGGAAACAACCAGATGGCAGCAAACACAATGAACAGTCACATGATAATTATAATACCGTTTTCTAAACTCCAGACGACCTTTGACCTCTACAGACACTTCTCACCATCATCGGTCTTTTGATCTGCCTGACAGAAGTTTTTTTTCTCGCAATCATTTATTTTTGCTTTTTGGAAAGAATTGCAAACACTCTTCAATTTTCTGGTCGTCCTTGTGTGTCAGTGTTTTGCACTGTCTCTCCGTCTCCAGCCTGCACTCTGGAGCATCCTCATTAAATGTAATCAGACAGGGGGAAGACAAAACCAGCATGACTTCTGTAATTTCCAGTTTTTAACCATTAACCACGGCTTCACGCTTTTTTCCTCACAGCTCCAGGGCAAACAGAGGTTGATTTTAAACACTCTTTAGCCAGCTGGTTAGAGGAATTGAAGGCCCATCACTTGGCGCAGGTCACAGGGTCGGATCTGATCTTCAGGGAGTTCAGAGGAAAGATGATGGTTTGGCAGAATAATTGGTTCAGTCGCTCACTGCAGTTTAACCCTTTACATCCATTAAATGTTTACAGAAAAACATGTCAATGTTTTTATGGCTTTTATGTTATATCACACTTAAAAGGCAACTTCAGTATTTATCAACCTGGACTTTATTGTCCCATGTTTTTGTGTCTAACTGACTAATGGGAACAGGAATTTTTTAAACTGGTCCCGTATTGAGAGAGAGCAAGCTGTGAAACAGGCTGCAACAAAACCACTCAGGGCATGTTTGCACCGTCAGTGTATGTCCAGTACAAGTGTTTGTATTTGCCACTGACAGAAAAACTTCATATTATTCTAAGTGTCTGACAACATTATGGATACAGAGATAGACCTCTTTGTTAATGATAAGATTCTTTTCATTTCCCCAGGAACAGCCCAGATATCGCCATCTCCAAGTCCACCAGACTCCATTCAAATAAACAGTAATTTTAGCATGAGTAGAGGCAGCATATTTTCATGTGTTACTGGGTGAATTAAGGGTTTAATTCAACCAAACCAGAGTTGGTGATTGTGGGAACAGTGGAAAGACTAACCAAGACAGCGTTTATGAATTGTATTGTGCTTCTGTCGACTTAAAATGAAGTTCATTTTATGATGATAAAATTATTGTTTATTTAAATGGAGTCTGGTGGGTTTGACGATGGCGATATCTGGGCTGTTCCTGGTGAAACAAAATAGATCTTACTCTTTAACAAAGAGGTCTATCTCTGTATCCATAGTGTTGTCAGACAGAATGATATGATGATCCTGTCAGTGGCAAAAACAAACACTTTCACTGGACGTACACTGACGGTGCGAACATGCCCTAAGTGATCACGTAGCAACCTGTTTCACAGCTGCTGGCTGCAGCGCTCTCTCTCAATACTGGACCAGTTGAAAAAAATCTGGTTCCCATTAGTCAGTTAGACACAACATGGGAAAATAGAGTCCAGGTTAAGAAATACTGAAGTTACCTTTTAAGTGTGATGTAACATGCATAGAAAGACACTCACAGAGTTTTCTGATATTCCCACAAACCATCATCTTTCCTCTGAACTCCCTGAAGATCAGATCCGACCCTGTGACCTGCACCAAGTGATGGGCCTTCAATTCCTCTAACCAGCTGGCTAAAGAGTGTTTAAAATCAACCTCTGTTTGCCCTGGAGCTGTGAGGAAAAAAGCGTGAAGCCGTGGTTAATGGTTAAAAACTGGAAATTACAGAAGTCATGCTGGTTTTGTCTTCCCCCTGTCTGATTACATTTAATGAGAATGCTCCAGAGTGCAGGCTGGAGACGGAGAGACATCGCAAAACACTGACACACAAGGACGACCAGAAAATTGAAGAGTGTTTGCAACTCTTTCCAAAAAGCAAAAATAAATGATTGCGAGAAAAAACTTCTGTCAGGCAGATCAAAAGACTGATGATGGTGAGAAGTGTCCATAGAGGTCAAAGGTCGTCTGGAGTTTAGAAAACGGTATTATAATTATCATGCGACGCATCAACATGAATCATATAAAGTGTTTGTTTTTGCTCAATTCAAACACCCAGATCTCCCTTTTAATGGGAGGCCAGTATCAGAGAGCATTATGGGTAATCAGCCATTGATTTCACTCTGAAAGATGGAGACTCTTTGTTTTGAGTGGACTGCTCGATCCTCCAGTTGAACTGGAGTGACATCATTACCAGCTGTTAATGGTCCCAGTTTCAATTGCAATTAAAATGTAGAGATGAAGAGTGAAAGGGAGAAATATTAGAAAAAAAACAACAATAAAAAGGATTTTAGTTTGTTTCTCAGTGTCTCTGATCTTTCCTCGTTCAGATGAACATCATAGCCGGAGGATTTTACGACGGTCTGATGCTCTACACTCACGCTCTGAACGAGACCATGTCCATGTCCGCCAGTCGGCCTCCAGGGAAAGTCGTCACCAAGAGGATGTGGAATCGAACCTTTCACGGTCAGTACATTTCAGTGTTTTTGTGCCATTTGTATTGGTTTTTGTGGACATTTTATCACAGAAGGGGAAAGTCTGCTTCTACTCCTTTGTAGTGTTCATCTCTTAAGGTTGAATTTAAAATGAAATTCTTTTTTGTTCATTATGAGTCTATACCGGTAACAGCCATGGCTGAAGGCAGTATGTTTTTGGGTTGTCTGTCTGTACACGCCAACCTCGTCACATATCAACACGAACGTTAGCCTCTGGCGCTCTGCACTGAACACCAGCTGGGTTGCATAGGAGCTAGCTAATACTGCTGGTAACGCTGTCCAAGTGGCGGGATGGTGTTGCTTCTGAAACATGGTAACCACCCTCCAGTCCCCCATCCCCCAACACATCCTCACTGTGACCTCGTCACATGTCCATGTTTGGTCATGGACTTTCCACGTCCACATGTGACGTCCAAGGTACCCTGTTTGTGTTGGTTGTTGACGTTCTGGGACGCCGTGTCAACTTCAGCCTGTTACATGCATTGTCTGTTTTCAAAATACACTTCTGTTTTCACAGGAAATGTACAATTTGCATACATTCTGTCAAAATAAAAGCACTACATCGGTACAACACAACTTTTTTTTTTCTTCAACAACACACACACCTGGTTGGGTTTAGGAAAACAGAAAAGGGTTTGACTTTACAGTGTAAGGGGAAGTCGGGTGAAAGTCTGTGGTTGTTGGATCCATCCACCACCCCTCCCACCAGCTCTACTCGGACTTCTGCTGCCTTAACTTTCGATTGTTGTCCCCCCGCGTTTCCTCCTGACGCCGCCTGGCTCCATTAAACTATGATGGTAACTGACCACGTATCATGCCGACATGAAAGGACAGCTTTTTTTGTTGATGTCTGACGCCAGAAGTCACTGACCAAGTGCCGAATTTCATCGGCTTCAGGGTGAGACTGGGTTGCACATACATACGTCCCATTCTCATGAACACGATATCTCAAGACCACTTTGAGATCATTTCTTCAAATTTGGCACAAATGTCCACTTGGGCTCAGTGATGAACTGATTAGATTTTGGTCATGGTGACCTCACAAAACATGTTTTTGGCCAAGTCAAGTCAAGAATTCATGCAAACAAACAAACAAAAGTCCACAGAAATGTCTGATTGAATTAGATGAAGTGGTGACATTTGATATCCAAAAGGTCAAAGGTCAGCTTCACTGTAACATCAAAATGTTTTCTGGCCTTAATTCAGCATCATATCTCAGGAACAGAAGGGGAGACATTTGGTCAGATACTGAATTGGTGACTCTAATCTTGAAACTGTGCTGATTGTATAGATCTTCTGTGTGTGAAGCATCCATGTTTTCACTGACATGGATGGAGACTGTATGTGCAGCTTGTCTGGTTTGCACCCATGAGGCGGTAATACCAGCTATAATTTATTTTGGTTCAAATTCTTTCTTTTAAAACTGTTACAACGCAGTATGTGTCTAGGGGTAAGGGAAGCAACATAAAACCAAACAATGAAGTGAATAAGGCAAGCTGCCGTTTATTCATACACAAAATAAACAATACAAGCTACGCTTTTGTAAAAAGTTGCACACAAAAAGAAAACGCGCTCGCAGGCTCTGCAACACAACCCGAAAATCGGGCTTCACGGAAGGAGCCTCGGCGGTGAATTACATTTAAGTATAACATACTCAGGGAATGGTGGCGGGTGACTGCAAACCATAAAACAATTAAAACAAAACTCTGACCTGTCACCAACAAAATAAACACCCCAACTAACTAACTGTGGTGGAAGGCCACCCAGAATAACAAAACTAAAACATAGGCTATCTGTTCTACCACTTACCTGTCAAACAAAACAACACTCAAACCGACACCCATAAAGCTAATGTACCATACATCAAACATTCTACGTGTGAGTGTAAAGGATATGTGGCTAGGCTACAAAGCTAAATCCTAAAGCCCACAGATTCCCAAATACAACAACAACGAACAGATTATAGCAGCTGAAAACACAAACGGAGCGAGGCGGACTGCTCAGGTTAAATCACAGCCACCATTGCTCTTGTCTCTGCGCAGCTTTTAAAGGTTCAGACGAGGGGCCGGTGAAGCGGTGATTGGCCGGAACCGATGACGACAGCGAGGGGGCCGGCCGACCAGCAAGCGGGGGAACACTGAATAGCAGCAGAGGAGAGCGGGCTGGAGGCGTGGTCCGCCGGGGATTCCCTCCAGAAGAGCAGACAGTTAGACACACACATAAATAATTGACAAGTGCTGGCGGAATAATTCCCATAATGACATGCACAGCACTTTAAACACAGAAAATAAATGTACTAAGGTCCGGAGACCGTAACAAGAGCCGCTATATTTGCTGTATTGATGAACGTTTTCTGTACCTTCACTGTTCCTTCTGAAACCAAAGTCACGTCCTCTGGGTTAAATATAATTAGATGGTGTGACAGTTCGACATTCGAGACGTTGTTTCAAAGGGCATAAACACAAAGCTGGACTGCACACAAAAGCTCTGTAAAATTAGCAAATCCATCGACACCATTAATATAGATTGATCTGAACTGAGCCGGCAGGTGGTTTGTTTAAGAATTTCTGAACCTGCGTCTGTGTGTTGTGGTTCCATCGTGGCAAAAACACAAAGCGAATATCTTGCATGTTTCTCGTCTGCTGTCAGTTTCTGTATTAGGCTGTAGCTCTGTGCTGTTGGAGGTAAATTCAAACTGACTCACATGAGGCAAAAAAGCTGCTCGTTAATCATTTAAATGTGTATAAATGTTGCACATGTTAGTGATGCAACAGCTGGTGTTTCCCATCAGCTGTCGGCTGTGAAATACCTGCTGTGACTGTGCTGATTTTGAAGCTGAGGTTTGAGAGCAGCAGCAGGGTGTCTTGGAACAGCTGGATGTTTCATTCTCTACAGCCGTGTTTCAAGCCACTCCACATAGAGTGTCCTTATCTGCCATCGATTCACTGGAAGTTGAAGTTTAGATTCATTTACACTCAGAGTTAAATTAACGCTGCAGGTTTTCACATGAAATCTGAAAAAGCGTGAAGAAGCTGCTCTGAAGAGTGGCACTCCAAAACGAATCCTCGCCACCTGAGAACGGTGACACCCACTCGAATAAATTGGCTGCTGACACTGAGGTCAAACTCATTATGAGATGCTGTAGAGGTTATTGTACGTGAAGACTCAAAGTTATGCTGTCTGTGTGTCCTGCTCGGCTCCTGAGGGAGAGACGACTGTAAGACTGAGAAAATAATCTAATAGTTTAAAGGTTCTGTGCCCTTTGAAAAAGCTGTTGTTTTGTAGACATGTTTTTATATAATAATAGTGGTAGTGCATTTGCATTTCCTGTGAGTCCTTCATAATAAAAGTCAACTTCAGTCAGGACCAATTTTGCCTAAGAAAACTTTATTTTCTTGCATTTCCATTTGGCGGTGTGGCTCTGTTCTTGGGCGTCCCTGCCCTTCCATGCGCCTACAAAGAAAGCCTGAGGCAGGGAGAGTAGCAACAAAGACCCTCCGGGAACAGAACAGAGCAGCATCAATAGTGGAGTTTCCATCCACCTATTTTTATTCGCATTTTCAAAAATTGCGAAAAAAAAAACTTGGATGGAAATGCCAGAAATTCGAAAAAAGGCAGAAAATTCACAAAAAAAGTTTTTACGCTTGGAGGGGGTGGATTTGTCAGCGTATGGATAAAAGGAAAATGCGACTTTTTGTTATGGAAACATGTTTTGCGAATAAACGACGACATACCGGCACACAGATCCTCAAATATGGCCCTTGACATACAGAAATGTTTCAGCCAGAGTTCGTGAGTGAAATGCTGCTGGACAGCTACTTCCCAAAAGTCCTTCACACGCCTACGTTCCCATACACATGGAGAACGACGCGGTGGTCTCCTTCCAGCTATTTCCGACAGTACTCTTAACATTAAACTTCTTCTTTGTCATCTCTTCTTCAAGATGGTCAGGTACGCTGTGAACGCTGATAAAATGCTAACCAGAGTTCTCCCAAGAGCCGACAGGTTTATCAGGAATCTGTCCATGGTCAGTTGTTGAGTGTCAGTTGAGTGTGTTGTTGTTTACAGTGGGCATAAGACGCTCTCTTATTTTTCACGAGAAACGCCACCTACTGCTCTTCCTGTTGACTCCCAATAATCGCAAAACAATAATGAATGGAGACGGGCATAAATTTGCATTTTCTTTTGCGCATTTTCACAAAATTCGCTCAAAAATTTCGATACATTTTGGATGGAAACCCCACTAATGACAAACAGAAATAGCATTGATAAGTCAGACACAACATGAAAAGGAGGAGCTAGGTGAAGGCGGGTTGCAAAGCAGCCTTTTTATTTATTCTATTTAACCTTTGAGATCTCCTTTTCGAGCATGTCCAGGCCAAGACAGGCAGCAACGTAAGTTACAGACAGACATAGAACAAAAATGTAAAGCTCTAAAACAAGCAATGTATATGAAAATAAGATTACTACAAAGTAAAGCCAAAAAGTATGTTAATATATGTTAGAAGTGAACCATAAAAATACAAAAAACAGCAACTACACATGATAACAAAGACCAGCTAAAATACACCCTGACACTGGCATATAAAAGATTGCGTACAAAAATCTTGCAACAGTGCTTTGCAATGGCCGAGAGCAACCAACAGGTTCATCTTTAAGTCCTCCTGCAGAAGATTTCAAATGTAAGGAGTTGCATACATACATGCTTGCTTGCCAAACTCTGTATGTATGTAGAGGAAGCAGCAACAGTAGGCAGGTCAGAGCAGTTTAGATATGGCGCCCTGAATGAGATTTGCTAATTGGTTGCATAGAAAGGAATCATGTGATCAATCAACTGATCCATCAGTTGAGTGGCTGTTTGAGATCAGCTGATGTAGCTGGGATGTGAGCTAAGTTTGACATCGTGTCCTGCCTGAGCTAACGATATACTCACACCGTTTTCCCAGTTAAATGTTTTTAATGTGAAGCAGC